CCAAAAGCAAATTAGCTGGCTTGGACGAATTTCTATCCTAATCAACCCACTTTAACTTTTAAAACGAACCAAACTAAATAAATGATTTTGTTTGGTTCGATTCAGTTAGTTGATTTGGACTTTTAGTCCAAATTGAATTCTTTTTAAAAAATTATCCGAGTTTTAGGCCCACTTGGATTACAATAACTAAAATAACCAAATAATTGAATATTGCAAGAACTATTTTACTAATCAATAAAATTAAGTTAATAGAGACGGATCAACAGAAAAATCAAAAAGTTTTGTTGTTTTTCTATGTATTATGTAGTTTAATTGTCTGAGTAGGGAAAAAATACTAAGTATAATATAGTGAGCTTATGAAAGAAAATCTACAGCACTTACTTTCCGACAACATCATAGATTGAAGGAAATCGAGATAATTATAAATTTAGGGATATCTTTTGATTTTTATTTTTCTTAAATTAAAGAAAAAAAAAAGTAAATATGTAAGTGGGTTGGATTGGTTCAGTTAACCAACGATTTGAGACTTCAAATCATGACTGAACCGGCATATCATAGTTTTGTTTATAAGAAAACCAAACAAAACCAATTACCTATGTTAAACCAATCCAAATCGGTTATGTTTGATTGGTTTGGTCGATTTTTTACTCTTTATTTTTTTTTTTGCCCAAGCTTAGTTCTCTTCTCTTGCTATCTTCACTTCGGCAGTAGAGTTGGCAGAAAATCAATCCCGCCCCTAATGTGGCAAAAAAAATCCACCCCAATGGGCTGGCAAGGCCCCGTAAGTCGTTGCCCCATCTCGGGTTTCGAGGACAAATATCTAATAATAGGAAAAAAAATGGGCAGCAAACGGGGTGAGCCCTCGCCCTGCCCCGTCTAAGGTTGGGCGGGGCGGGCCACCATCTATTTGCCAGATAGGGACAAAGTTCGCATAGTGTACTTCTTGATTCAACACATAAGAACAATAGATACAACATTATCCAGAGGAATATCATTGAGAAAAAATATAGAAAGTGGTCTTGAATTTCTTCAATGATTCTAGATTTCTCTCTTTTGATCTTCTTTTTCAATTTCAAGCAATAATTGTATTAAGAATACGTGTCTTGCTACAAAAATTTCTTCAAAACTTTGTAAAGATTAATATCTTTCTCTTATTGGCTCTATGAAATATGTAAAATTCACACATAAGAGTGTCCTAACTTCCCATCTAAGTTCTCTATAAGCTTCCCCAACGTTTGTGATGAAAAAATATATTTATAGTAAAGAATTAAGTTTAATTCCGTGCCCCTTGTAATTTTCATGAAGAGTGATCAAGAAAATAAAAGAAAATAATTTCGACTGAAATAGCTCAAAATCGTGTTGAACGATTGCATAACTACGTGAATTGTGATCGCACAGCGGTAGGGATGGCAATCGGGCAAAGCCCGTGTCTACCGCGCCCCGAGCCGAGTCACGGGCGGCCGAAACTTTAGGCTCGCGAGCCAGCTCGGCCGGGCTCATTTACATCCCTACACAGCAGCCTTAAAATGGTCCCTGCAACAACAAACAAGGCTTTGTGATTGCAAGGCCTTCTTCTTCTTGGAAGTGTTATTTAGGTCCCAAACTTTCTTCTTTCATTCATCTTGAATCATTTCTTCTTTGCGCCTAGATCGATCTTTTTAAAGTCATTATAATTTAGTCCTCAACATTAATCAATTGTCCATAATCAATCCGATTGCGACTTTTAAGATTTTTCAAATAAGTCCCTAAACTTTTCCAAACTTCGGATTTAACTGTTGAAACTTGTGAATCACTTACAGTTATTCCAATAATTCTTCTAATTGATCAATTACAACTCGGTTGATCATTAATTACTTTGAATCAACTCTATTCAAGTTCCAAAATGCTCTTTTTTTTTTCTTGCCAATTGCATCCAATAGTGAACTTGCCTACAATTAACATATTTCACCTAAATTAGGTAGGTATTTGCCCAATTAATCATGAATAAGTAATTAAAGAAACCCTAAATAAGTGCAAATTTTGAAAATGAAGATTGATAATTTATTTCTAGATGAAGGCAATCATAGCTATAATGCTAAATTCGACGGCTAGGGCAAATCAACAATGCCTGCCACAATGATGTACCGAAATTTCCAACTTCATCTTCTAAACATATACCTATGCTTTACCTCGTGGCAATGAAGTTCATGAATATGACATACTCGGGCAACTTGGCTTCCTCGAGAATGATCCATTGTTAAGTATCCACATTCGAGACTTTTAATTTAATTGATTCACATTTATCCTTTCAAAATTACTATGAGAAATGAGAATAGAAAGATCATTTATAAATTAATAGGTGGTTTCAAAGTTTAAAAAATGCTCAAATTCAACAAAAAATAATCGTATCCAACCTGAAATGGGGCCAGACCCAAATCGACCAAACCAAAACTAATAAGCTTGGGTTGGATTTAAACTAGTAATTGGGTTGGGTTGGTTTGATTTTAGATCAATGCAACCATGTTGTGTTGGGTTTGGGTTTTATCAAACCCAACGCACATGTAGTCTAGTTGGTAGGATACTCGGGTCTCACTCGAGGGACCAGGGTTCAAGTCTCGGCAACGGAATACTGACTTATTTTTATACCCTTGGGGCTTAAAACTTTTCCTTTCCATGAACCCTAGTTCAGTAACTTATACTTTCTATCTCTTGAAAGTTTTCACCTCTAATAAATCTTTTTTTTTTATTTGTTCTATATGGATAAAAGTAGAAAGCCTTGTTTTATATGCTAATTTGATCAAAATCAGTGGCGGACCCAGGAAAAAATTCAACACGGGCTAATACGTATAAAAAAAATATTGCAAATAAAAAAAATATTTTACTTAAATTTTTTTTAATGGACATTTGGGCCGAAGGGACGAGCTGTAGCACGATCCAGCCCATCCCTGGATCCGCCCATGATCGAAATTATTGCTATGTAATGAGTAGTGATTATTGATGTAAAACAAAAAATCCAACAAACTGTTGGGTTATATAGTGAAAACGAAATCATTTATATTCTTCTCTAATATATTATGAGCAACCTTCTAGGGATTTTTAGTTAATTAAGTGTTACGCCCCTATTTGAACAACTTCGAAAATTCCGCCACTGCGTCATACGAGATGTCCAACACCCATCCGAAGTGGTTCTAAAGTGACTCCACCACTAATGTTGGCGAGCTGCTAACGCCCTGCGAGACACAAACAATTCTACTGAACCAAACGAAGCGTTCTTGCCTTTGACGCCGAAGCGCAATGCACTCCGAGGATCTCTGTCAGAGGATCCGTCGTCAATTTCAGAAAGAGATCAGTGTCATGATCCTTTCTGCCCCCAAGGTTTAATTGATTTGACATCTCCATGGGCCTAATTGATGTGACGTATCGACTTTATGTCAACTCAACTCGGGAGAAGTTATTACCCGCCCACTCTATAGACATGGCTGATTAATGCCTATTAGCAGACGTCTCACGCCGTCAGATGCATACACGTGTCCCACATCTAACGGTTCTCCTCAACTATAAATACCCAAGGTTTAACAAGAGGTAAAGGTAATGAAACTCTTACAACTTAGCTCTCCATAACAAGTAAATATATATTCTCCTCCCCACCCTTTTTGCACAACCTTGGCACTGTTCGGATCACCAGAAGCTACCTTAACCGTCGAAGTGTATGCGGCCGCCACCCCCCGCTGGTTCCAGCGGTGTGCATCTGTCCGTGCGTTGGCTGTGCGCAGGGAGGATTACATGGAACAGCTATCGATTGGCCACGTGGAGGGTCCAATTCACGAGGTCAACATATTGGTGCCGTCTATGGGAAACTTCTCATCCAAAGTTCTACATTCTCCACCGGAAAAGCCACCGAAAAACCCTTGACTTACCCTAAAAAAGGGACATTCTTGAAAAAGAACAAAGTCGAATTGTAACCCATATCCTCATCACCCTTGAAAAAGGAGTAGATAAGATGAGTTCCAGCAATGAGGACTCCAACCCTAAGATGGACGGCTCTGAAGAAGAGGTGCTTCGAAACAATGTCACTCACCAAAGACCCCATCACCGGTGTCACCAAGGTGAAAGAACAACCGTGCTTACTGAAAGAATGGCCCAAACAACTGCGGGCATGAGAGAGATTGCAGCTTAGAATATGGTGATGCATGAATTCGTCATGCGAACCCAAGGTCACCGAGCGCCTGAATGCCCCAAGAATCTTACCCAGCTCATGAAGTCCCTGCGCCTCGTTCCCGAGGCCATATGAGCCAGCACAGAGAACCCCCCTCGAGAGAGAGAAGTAGGTACGGAAGTCACATCCTATGTGCAAGGGAGCCAGCTAACAGAACCGCAATTGGGGGACAACTTTCCACCAGAATATGAAGTACAAAGGCCAGTCAGTGTCTTTGACTGGATAGGGCGGGACCTTAGTAATAGGGTTCGCTCAGTGGAAAGATCAATTTGACAAGGGGAAGAGCAAGAATAAGCGCCTCTTCCACCTAGAAATAGGAAGGAGAGAAGAAACTTAGTTGATTGGGGTAGCCGAGGAAGAGCACCTCCATCCCCCCAAAACATGCAAGATGATGGAGACTCCAAAGGGCCGTGTCGATCTTACGAGATTGATGATGATGATGATAATCTTCCTTTCTCAAGGGAGATCCGAGGCTCCCCAATGCCTGCGAACTTCGTACCACCTAAAATCCTTAAGTATTAAGGAAAGGGGGACTCGACGAAGTACCTCACGAAGTACATAACACAGATGAGTCTCAGGGAAGCCTCGCCTGCTTTGAAATGCAGAGCCTTCCACCTAACCCTGGTCGGAGCTGCCGAAGCATGGTACAGCAGGCTGCCTCCTCTGAGCATTAAGAGTTAGCAGAGCTAAAAAAGGCTTCTTGAACCAGTACCTCTCACGTAGAGAATGAGAGGCCCCAGTGCAACGCCTACAAGATACGAGACAAGCCCCTGGAGAAACGTTGAAAAGCTACCTCGCCAGGTTTATGGACGAGATCACCTATTGCGAACAAGTCACTGATCGAGAAGCCCTTTCAGTCTTGAAAGGCGGCCTCAACATGAACACTTTGTTCTGGAGGGATATACGCAGCAAGAATCCTCCCACTTATGACGAACTGGTGGAAACGATGAGAGTTGAGATCATCAGTAAAGTGATGATTGATCACCGAAATCGTGCCGTACAGGGACTCCCTCCGCCTCAGAGGCAAGTAGGTTGAGGACCCGCAGCGCACCTTGTCACCTAGCAATGGATCCAGGCAGAGCATACAATAGCTCCCACGTCCAGACAAGCACTAGCTTCTACCACGCTAAATGCAGTGCCAGTATTGACATACGAGAATGCCCCTGCTGAGGCGGGACCATCTAGGGATACTGATAATAGTCGAAATAAGAGGAAGAAGCGGTCAAGCAGGCCCTTAGAAGGGGCAAGGTTCTGCACCTTCCACCAACTCTATGAACATGACACCAACGAATGCAGAGACGCTCCGCGATGCTCAAATCAGAATAACCCATATCCCTCCAGGAGGGACGAACATCCCCGCAAATCCACCTCCCTAAACAAGGCTGAAAGGAGGCATAGAGATCAATTGCTTCGAACAAGAGGATTAAGGGACAGAGGAGAGTCCAGACAGAGAGATCAAGCCCCATTTTCTGGAGGCCAAATCATCAAGGAAATTAACACGATCATTGGGGGACCTCACATCGATGGCAACTCTAGAAATGCCCAAAGGAACTACACAAGAGAAGCAAATGATCCGTCGATGCTCACGTACATCGTCAACCAATCCCAAGAAGCCAATAGGATGGCCCCGATCACCTTCTCCCAAGAAGATACACAAGGAGTTCACCACCGCCACTGTGACGCATTGGTAATAAGAGCCGTAGTAGCAAGAAACGGACTCAAACGCATGCTTGTCGACAATGGCAGCTCTCTGAACATACTGTTTGGCTCTACCTTCGACAAAATGCAAATTAAATATAGGCTAATCCCCATGACCGACCCACTATTTAGATTTACTGGAGACAGCATCTCCCACAAGGATGAATTACTCTGCCTGTCGAGATGTGTTTAGCTCCCCTAGTGGCCCAACATTTCATGGCGTTTTTGGTAGTAGACCACAGGTCAGCCTACCACGGAGTATTGGGCAGACCCGCCTTGAAAGATCTTTGGGTTGTCACCTCCATACATTACTTGTGTATGAAGTTTCCAACTAAGCATGGAATTGCTACAGTTCGAGGCGACCAGATGGGCTCCAGAGCATGTTATCTAAACTCTCTGCGAAAATTAAAGCCCTGCACTATTAATGTAATCATAACGGAGGTTGCGAGCGAATCCGACCTGGATGTGGAAATGCTCGACACCCCTGAAATAGGGCATACCTCCGAATAGGAAGAAGACGTCGACATGGAAGAGGCCCCTGAAGAGGGACACTCTCTTGACGAATTAGATCCCCCGAATAACTGGCTCAGAACCGAACGCGACCCAATAGAAGAACTTGAAACTTTCTCCGTCAACCCAGAGGACTCCAGTCAGGTCCTGCAGATAGGAAAGACATTATTCCCCGAAGCGAAAGAACAAATGATAAGCTTCCTGAAAAAGAACATGGATGTCTTCGATTGGAAGCACGAAGACATGGTAGGAATAGACCCAATGATCAGTTGTCATCGCCTAAACATCAATGCCTCCTGTGCCCCACATCGGTAGAAAAGACGAGCCCTCAACCCGAAGAGGTAGGAGACACTCAAAGACTAAGTCAATAAGCTTAGCCACAGTGGCTTCATCAGAGAAGTCATTTATCCGAAGTGGATATCCAACCCGATCCTTGTGAGAAAGCCTAGCGGGAAATGGAGGGTGTGCGTAGACTTCACGAACTTAAACAAAGCATGCCCTAAGGATAGCTTCCCACTGCCGAGGATAGACCAACTTGTGGATTCCACTGCGGGACATGAACTCTTGAGCTTCATGGATGCATACTCAGGATATAACCAGATACCCATGTTTCGACCTGACGAAGAGGCCACATCGTTCATCACAAACAAAGGACTGTACTGCTACAAAGTCATGCCTTTCGGATTGAAAAATGTCGGAGCTACATATCAAAGGCTGGTCAACATGATGTTTGCCGAACTTATTGGCAAAACCATGGAAGTCTACATGGACGACATACTAGTCAAAAGCCTCCAAGCGAATGAACACGTAAGTCACCTCGACCAGACCTTACAGATTCTTAGGAAATACAGAATGAAATTGAACCCCCTCAAATGCACCTTCGGCTTGGCTTCGGCTCAGTTTTTAGGGTACATTGTGAACAAAAGGGGAATCGAAGCAAATCCGATAAAGAATAGGGCATTATTGGAAATGAGGTCGCCTCAGAAGCTGAAGGAGGTCGAGAGCCTCAATGGTCAGATAGCTACGTTCCATCGCTTCATCTCCAAAGCCACTGATAAGAGCCTATCTTTCTTCAAAGTGTTGAAGTAAGGGAAGAAGTTCCAATGGACCGATGAGTACTAGGAAGCTTTCCAAGCGCTAAAGAAGCACTTAGGAGAGGCGCCTCTGTTATCCAAACCTAAACCACAGAAATCACTACTGCTATACTTGGTAGTCTTGGACGAGGCAGTCAATGCAGTCATAGTTAGAAAAGAAGATGAGCATCAATTACCTATATACTATGTCAGCAAAACACTACTCTCGGCAGAAACCCGCTAGCCGGGCATGAAAAAATTGGCACTCGCCCTAATCACGGCGTCAAGAAAACTGAGGCCATATTTCCAGGCCTACTCAATCAAAGTTCTCACCAACTTTTCACTGAAGCAGGTACTGCAAAAAATGGAAGCTTTGGGCTGCCTGTTAAAATGGGCAATTGAGTTTAGTGAGTTCAACCTACTGTTCCGACCCAGACATGCCATCAAGGGACAAGCCCTTGCAGATTTTGTGGCTGAATTTGCCATAGAGCCAGAAATGGAGGCGGCAATGAAACCAGCCGAGCCCCCAACGTGGAATTTGTTCGTGGATGGATCCTCAGGAGAAATTGGCTCTGGAGCTGGGATCGTCTTAAAAAGCCTGGAAGGCCACAAGTTAAATTGCACAGTAAGGTTCGGCTTTAAAGCCTCGAACAACGCTGCCGAGTATGAGGCCCTTCTAGCAGGCCTTAGACTCGCAAAACAAATGCAAGTCAAAAGGGTCTTGGCAAGCAGCGACTCTCAACTTGTGGTGAGTCAGGTCAACGAAAACTTTGCCACCAAAGACAGTAGTATGGCTGCATATTTAAAATTGGTCCTGGACCTAATCCCACACTTCGAGAGGTTCAAATTGATCCAAGTCCCACGCCTCGAGGACACTCATGCAGACGCCCTATCAAAATTGGCCAGCAGCAAAGACTCAGAGCTGCTAAAGATTGTCTCCACTGAACGCTTGTCGAAGCCCTCCATCTCCGAGGGTGAAGAGTTGTTATGGATAGAAAGTAACCTAGTATGGATGCAACCCATCATGGCCTATCTCAAGGATCAGTCACTACCAGCTTCAAGAAGCGAGGCGAGGAAGTTAAGAAGGAAAGCCGCTCACTTCGTCCTACAAGAGGATGTCCTCTACAAAAGAGGCGTTGCCTCACCACTTCTTCGATGTGTAGTAGGAGAAGAAACCATGTATATACTCAGGGAGATCCACAAAGGGATCTGCGAAAATCACTCCGGAGGAATGGCTCTGGCACACAAAGTGCTCCGACAAGGCTACTTCTGGCCAACCCTGAAAAGGGATGCTTGCCAATTCGTTCAAAAATGTGATAAGTGTCAGCGCTTCTCAAATATTCAAAGACAACCTTCTCAAAGTCTCTCCGTAGTCACCAATCCATGGCCATTCGCCAAATGGGGCATCGACTTCATCGGTCCACTCCCAAAAGAGAGAGGAAGCGCGACTTTTGCCATTGTCGCCATTGACTACTTCACCAAGTGGGTCAAGGCTGAACCTCTTACCAAGATCACCGAGGTGAATACTACAAAATTCGTTTGGAAGAACATCATTTACAGGTTCGGCATTCTCCACTCTTTAGTGTCCAACAACGGGAGACTGTTCGACAACAAGAAGATGTGAGACTTATGCAATGAACTAGGGATAAAAAAGGATTTCTCGACGCCTCATCACCCCCAAGCAAATGGGCAAGTTGAGGCAGTGAACAAAATCATCAAGCATACCCTGAAAAAGAAACTTGACGCCTCGAAGGGGGCGTAGGTCGATGAGCTTCCCCACATCCTCTGGGCCATCTGCACAATTAGTTGAACCGCTACAGGGGAGACACCCTTCTCGATGACCTACGGAGCCGAAGCCATGAGCCCTGTCGAGGTAGGAGTCCCATCGCATCGTCGGATACACTTCAATGAGATCGGTAACGACGGCGCTCGAATGAGCGAACTCCACCTCATTGAAGAAAGAAGGGATACCTCCCAATTGAAACTGGCCAAGTATCAAAGGAAGATTACCCGCTATTACAACTCCAAAGTCAAAAATCGAGCTCTTCGGTTGGGAGACCTCGTCCTTAGAAGGGCCTTCCAATTGTTAAAGCCAACTAGGACTGGAGTGTTTGGATCAAATTGGGAGGGTCCTTATCATATCTACAAGGAGTCCTGACCTGGTACTTTTGAAATTGAAGATATGACAGGGAGAGTACTGCCTCATCAATGGAACATCGAACACTTGATAAAGTACTATCGATGATGAACGTATGTTCCGATCCGACCTCGATGCTGTCTAATATGTGTTTGTCACGATCCGATCTCATTTGTAACTTTTCTATCTTACTAAGTGCTAAAATTGCCTTAGTGATGGATGATGTAACCTCTAAGTAATGATACTTCAGTTCTTTATGTCAAATCAGTTAATGAGTTGTTGCCTCGGTTATTTAATATGTTATTGCTCCGATCTCCATTTATTAACTAGTTATCGATAAGTGGTGCTTATTGTTTGCTTAAGTGCTTATCATTCATTTACTAAAGTATGAACAGTTCAACACAAGAAAAAGGAGGAAGCACCAATACATGAAAGAAAAATCTTCATTCCATTCATCTTAAAATCAAGTTACAAAAAGGGAGGCTGAAGCCCTTACAAAAATAGTTTTACTCTACTGGGGCGTCATCCACCCGAGCCGCTGGCTCTTCCTCTTAGGAGGCCTCTGGAGTTTCCTCGACAAACCTATCAGGCCGGCCTCCAGTAGGCCCACCAAACTATGCCTCTAAAGAGGATATGTCCAAAGTAGGGTAGACCTCTTTTAGCCGACTCAATAGTCCTTGGACACTCCAAGAGGCCCAGTAGTTGGCAAAGTCATCGTACATGGGGTGCTCCTCAAAATGGTCGATAAAGTTCTGCATCGCCACCTCCTTTGCTGACTTCATCTCCCCCTTCAGGGAGGCAATCTCCTCAGCTTAGGCCTCTGCCCTCTGCCTCAGCTTAGCTTTTCCTTTATTGGAGGCCTCCAAAGCTTCTGTGGCAAGCCGGTGGTGCTCATTTGCATGATCCACTCTTCTGGTCATTGCAGCCACCTGGTACTCCACTTCATAGAGCTCATTCTTCAGCCGCTCTATCTCTCCCTTAGCAGTCGCCAGCTAGGCCTCGGCTTCCTTCCTTGTTTTCTCCTCCTTCGAGGCCTTAGCCCGGGCTTCCCGCACTACGTCCCTGTAATGCATCGCCTCCTCAAGGCGCTTAGCGAGGTCCTCCCTCTTGGCACTGAGGTCTTTCACCAAGCCCTCAAGTTGGATGCTTGTGCTTAGGGCTCGGGCCACACAGGCACTGTTTGTAGCGACAAGGTCTTCGGCGGTGCAGGAGGCATTGTGGTCTCTCCATTCCTTTCTCCAATACTTGTTGTGGACCACCGCTACTGTCGTCGTCTCTAGAGGAAGAGCCTCCAGTACCTCTTTCACGAGCTTCTCAGAATTTGTGCCCAAGAAGTCCTCCTCCTTTGAAGAAGGGGATCTCTTCTTCTTCGATTGCCCCGGCACTTGGGTAATTGGAACAGCAGCAACTAGGGCTGTAGCCGGGGCAGGAGAAGCCTCATAGAGTGTAGCTGTCTTCTTCCGGATGGCCATTCCAGTGGGTATGGTGGTCTGCTTCAGAACCGGGGGTGGCCTCGCCACTATTGGGCGCTTCGAAGGGCCAGCAAACTTCTTACCCTTTCACAGCAAGTTGGCCGTCGGATCCTCTGCCACCTCCTCCTCTGTCGAAGGCTGGAGCCTCTTGCTGGCATCCGCCAGATCCTCCATCTACTTCTTGTATATAGAGAAGGAGGTCTTCAAGGCTCTCACCTCTGCCATCATCTTCTGGATGGTCTTGAAATCAGGCCTCAGGGGCATCTTCATGTTAAAGTTATCTACAAAGAAAAAAATAAATTATTACAAGTGTAAAGGGTCCGAAAAATTACTAAAGAGTATTCACTTCGGGAAATTTACCTTGAGAAGCCATCAGATCGTGTGTCACGAAGTGAATGTTCTTCCTAATCAACTGGTGGTATGACCTCTTCTTCGGCTCTCACCTCTGCCATCATCTTCTGGATGGTCTTGAAATCAGGCCTCAGGGGCATCTTCATGTTAAAGTTATCTACAAAGAAATCGGTTATTTTTTGTAGTGGCAGCTGGTAGATGATGCAAATGATATCGAAGTCATCAATGAATATCTCACACCGAAGAAGAGTGCCTTCAAAAGCAAACAAATAGCAGTTACGATCCGAACCGAAGAAGAATAAACATAAATGCAAAGCAACATTACTCACTAACTGTAGAATACTTCGTGGGGACCGTAAGAGGCGCTAGGGGTCCCTCTCCATCGTGTCCCATCTCCCGACAGCCCAGCACCACGAGCTCTTCCACTCCTTAATGGAGCTCGACAGATCGAGCACGAATGGAGTAAGGGAACCCCATGAGGTCAGGTAATACCAGCCCCTGGTCTTATCCTTTCCCCCCCCCCCCCCAGCCGCTACCTTGGGGATATAGAGGGTCTGGAAGACAGAAAAAGACATCTCTACCCCAAGCGACGCCTCCTTCCATAACATCCAGGAGCCTACCATTTAGCTCCAAGAGTTCGGGTTCAACTGGGTCGAAGCCAAACCATAAGACCTAAGGATTAGGCAAAAGAAAGGATGGATTGGGAGCCTAAGGCCAGCCCTAAGAATCGCTTTGCTACCACTACCCTCCGAAGCCATTTTTTCAGAAATGAAAGATGTCAAATACTTACTGAAGCTTACGAAATGGGGGTTCCACAGCCAGAAATGGTCAAGAAACACTGTAGAGTCGTCAGAAACTGGAGTTGTTGCCAAAAAATGCTTGAAGAACGCCGGAAAATGCAAGAGCTTTGAGAGCAAATGAAGTTTCTGATTTAACAAAAAAGTGAAAAACTCCCCAAAAGCTCAAGTCCATCTTTTATAGAGCGTCCCAGCTGATCTCCACTGTTCAATTCAAATGCAATCAATCTAGGACGTCCGTTGCATCATCAATCTAGGTCGTTGAAATGAAACACCAGATTTGATCTACGCCCAAGATCTAGCTGTAACCCTCATGCTCACGTGAAACGCGTAGCCTCGATCACCATCAGCCGTCTACAATAAGTAGTCGCAGTAGCCTTTTCTAGGAATGTGCATCGCACACAACTGTTCGTCTTGAAAATATGCGACAGCTGTCAAATCATTTAACATCAAAAATGTTCACCTCAGATCGAGCAGATGAGCTCCTCACTCAACTTTACAAAGCTTAGACGCACCTGAAGCGGAGTCCCCTATGAGTCATCGCCTCGATAGTTGCGTTCCCCCCTAAGCTTTACAAAGCTTTAGCCATCTTCCAACGCATCATCCCTTGTAGGTCAGCGTACTGGTGATAGATGAGCTCCATACAGCTTTACAAAGTTTAGACGCACCCGACGTGAAGTCTCCTATGGGTCATCGCCTCGGTAGTTGCATCCCCTCCTAAGATTTACAAAGCTTTAGCCATCTCCCAACGCGTCATCTCCTGTGGGTCAACGCACCGATGGCAGATGAGCTCCACACGGCTTTATAAAGCTTAGACGCACCAGACGCGGAGTCCTCTGTGGGTCATCGCCTCGGCAGCTGCGTTCCCTCCTAAGCTTTACAAAGCTTTAGCCATCTCCCAACGCATCGTCCCCTGTGGGTCAATGCACCGGTGGCAGATGAGCCCCTCACTCAGCTTTACAAAGCTTAGACGCACCTGACGCGGAGTCCCCTATGAGTCATCACCTCGGTAGCTGCGTTCCCTCCTAAGCTTTACAAAGCTTTAGCCATCTCCCAACGCGTCCTCTCCTCTGGGTCAACGCACTGATGGCGGATGAGCTCCTCACTCAACTTTACAAAGTTTAGATGCACCTGACGCGGAGTCTCCTATGGGTCATCACCTCGGTAGCTGCGTTCCCCCCAAGCTTTACAAAGCTTTAACCATCTCCCATCACGTCGTCCCCTATGGGTCAGCGCACAGATGACAGATGAGCTCCTTACTCAGCTTTACAAAGCTTAGATGCACCCGACGACGAGTCTCCTGTGGATCATCGCCTCGGTAGCTGCGTCCCCCCTAAGTTTTACAAAGTTTTAGCCATCTCCCAATGCACCGTCCTGTTGGCCAGCACATCGGTAACAGATAAGCTCCTTCCTTAGGCTGTAATGAAGCTTTAGCGCGTCTGTCGAAGATATGTCTCAACCTTCATCTCTTCAGTGAACACAGAAAACCAATCCACAAGCTCTTACGAACCGCGGTTCCTATCCCGAGGCAGGTATACCCGATCAGGAAAACAAGTCCACCCATGATATAAATATTAATGTCTGAACTTGGGGGGACCACTGCTGCGCCACTATCTGAACCACTTTGAAAAGTCTGGCACTGCGTCATACGAGGTGTCCAATACCCATCCGAAGTGGTTTCAAAGTGACTCTACCACTAATGTTGGCGAACTGCTAACGCGCTGCGAGGCTCAAACTATTCTACTGAACCAACCGAAGAGTTCTTGCCTCTGACGCCGAAGCGCAATGCACTTCGAGGATCTCTGTCAGAGGATCCGCCGTCAATTTCAGAAAGAGATCTATGTCAAGATCCTTTCTGCTCCCAAGG